TGTTTTATTTTTCAGATAGCTCTAGCAAAGCAGCCTATCAGTGTATTTAAAATGAATCAGCAGTTTATTTCTGTAAAGTTGAGATAAATGTTACAAACATTCTGGAATTAAGAATGGTAAGGGGAATAATACGTGTAACACTATAGGAAAGGTCATTGCATTGCAAGAAAAATAAGGATGAACATACAGATATTGAGACCTTCTTAGTCTTCTTTATTATATACTGCATATACATAACACAGTAGTCTTGAGTCACTTGGGAAATACATTTAAGCGTGGTCCATATTCCTGTCCCCGTCTTTGTAGTGAGTATAGGTTATTCTGGGTAGTTGTACTGAATACATCGGATGGGGGGATACTTGTATGTTGATGCCACAGTTGCGTGACTCCTGAGAGGTAGGAGCCCTCATGTGGCTGGAGTATAGCAACTAGTTAGGATAGAATTTGGACTTTCTCACTTTCTCCTCACAGTCATAATAAACCACTGAAGGCTTACCACGGAGACATTCCAGTTCAGTTTTATGCACAATTACAATGAGCATTGGTGGAAGGTGGTCATTTGGTATCATAGGAAAGGCAGAGAATCTAACTAGAAAATTTGTTTTAATTAGGCAAATTATGGTGGTGGCTTTGAATATAAGACTAGGGGAAAAAATAGGGTAAAAACTGGAAAAACTAGATTACTTGAACGGTTTGTCTCTCAGTATTACATTGAAGATTTTTGTCAATATATTTTTACTAACATATACTAAAACCCAAAGTGAAATACCGTATCAGTTAAAAGGAAGTAATTCTTACTTGATAAAGGCAGTAAAAGGAAACTTAATAGTTAAAAAGAAATTGTTCTGATATATGCAGTAAAAGGAAGATGAAAGTACTGTTTTCACATAGAATGTATCACATAAGTTAGGCCAAAAAATCCCATGATACCATGAAGAACTTTTCATGGTCTTATACTTGGCTTTAGGTTTGTCCAAATAAGACTGTTTTGGTTAGGCATGTGGAGAAATGAGAGTAAACAGAAGTTGAGATCATTATGGTTAAGTCCCCATGTTGGGACCACCAAGGAGATGCTGAGTGCTGTTGTGCGCAGCCCGTGAGTTGGTTGCCGGTGGATTAGCTGAGCTGCATGTTGCAAAATGGGCTACAAAGCTTAGGCAGCACTGTTGCCAGCAATTTCCAAATAATCATCAGCTGGTTGATGGTCTGTAGTACCAGAAATCTATATTTCTCTCTCTAGAGCATGGCTGAGATGATACTTGATTTTTGTCACTAAAATAGGACTTGTCACTTTGCAAGTAATGACCTGTAGGGTTAAAATATTCAGTTTTCAGAATTAAACTTTATTGATAGGACTTGAGACCAGCAGGGTAGTACAAACAAAGAATGTATATGGGTCATTTATGCATCTTTGCATCGTTTTGAAGAGCTGCATAGTTGGAAATTCCATTTCTTGAGGGAGTGAACAAGATGAGAGAACAGATTTGGAAAGTGTGCTTCAGTGTTTAGTTGGGGACACACTGAGTCCGTGAAGGTGTGTTTAGGAGGTGGGTGTGTACAGGGACTGGCCTGTCCTTTCTGTAGCTCTCATACCTGGTATATCGTTTGAGTACCATTTAGAAGTCATAAATCACTTCCACATCCAAATAGATTGTGCGAGTTTCCAGTTATAGATAAGTCTCTGTAATTAATCTTCCTTTGTGGTCTCTCATACAGCACCACACTCTAAACATTGCTGTGTATTGGATGGGCAGGACATTAACAATACTCATTTTATAGTCAGTGTTCGCTTTGCGTGATGTTTGCCATGGTGCTGCCACGACTGTGCCTACTTTGTGCACAACTCGAGTTACACATTTTGTCTCCACAGTGTCCAGTTGGAGTCTCTGCAGTTACCCTGCACCAAGCTGCACCCCTCACTTTTGAGTGGATAATTTTAGAACTGATCAGGAAGGAAACTTCTGTATTCTTGTTAGGAAACAGGGCTGATTTATCTTTGCTACTTAGGACTCCAAACTTAAGTTCTACCCACATAGGTACTATAGTGGATTATGATTGTGAAAACAGAACCCAAAAGTTGTTGTGCTTTTTCTCGCTTTGACTGTGCTTACATTTGCCTGTGCATTAAGTATGCATTCACTGAGGATTCAGACTGCAGTGTATTGATTCTTTGATTCCCTGGAACAAGTATGTTTATCACTATTAAACGGCAGGGATTATGTGTTTTATTTTTCACAGAACCTCCAGTGCCTAGCACAGGAACTGGCATGCAGTTTGCACTTGATAAATATTAAATAGACCGTAAAAGAAGGAATAGCTGGCCTGTCATCCTGTAAGCAAGGCTAACTCACATTTAACTCACATTTCAGAAGCCAAGGCATCAGGCAGACTGTATTCTTCCCTATGAGAATATGTCCCAGAAGCCTGAAACATTTATTTGGGAATCTTATAATAAAAAGAATGATATAAACCATGAGAGCAGAAGTTCTTAAGCATGAAGAGAATAAGGGTAGAGGAAAAGTGAACAGAGGAGGGGAATTGGAAGAGGGTGAAGCCACAGGAGAGCAGGGTGTTCTGTGGGTTGGGAGCAGTCAGCTTGTGGCCAGATCAGAGCTGGGAGGTGAGGAGAGATGAATGGAAAGAGACCTTTGGATTTTGTCAGAATAGTGAAAATGTAACACAAGCCTGTGTGCGCGGTGTGATGTAAGCATGGGGACGTTCTGTCCTTTACACTCCTCTTCCCTAGTGATTCCAATTGAGGGGGGATTTTTTTAAAGTGCAGAGGTAGGTAGTTTCCATTTTCTGTTGTAAATATCCCATAACCCAAAGGGCCCTGTTTGCACTGCCATTGATAGGTTTTTTTTTTTAATAAGTTCTTGTAAGCTGAGCAATGATTGAGACCATATTTTTCCATTACTATTATAAGTTAATGATGTTATTTACATACACACATACTCATCTATTTTACACACGCACACGTGGAATTATTTGGGGGAATTACAAAACAGTCGTAGTTGAAAAGTGAAAATTGGCCTCATTTTCAGCATGAAAAATGGTCAGTTCTTCAGTTATTTGGGTGCTTTTCAACTGAAATTTTATTCAGTTCTCTAGTTTATGGGAATGCATAATAAGCCAGTATCAATAATACATTGTATGTGCTAATGTGTGTGTACATACGCACAAACATGTATGTGTACGTACTTTGGAGGGATCTTTGAGTGTGATGCTCGTAAGAATTTACATGGCAGGAGCCTAGCTGGGGAGCCTTTAGAATCTTACTAGGATTCTGCTATTTGCAGAACAGCTAATTTTCACTTGAGTTATAGTGCTTTTTGTGAATGATTACTTCCCTTGTCCTAAGCATTTGCAGTAATCCTAGGAAGGAAGCTTTGTTCTTAATTTAATAGGAAGAAATTGGAGTTCAGGAAGTTTAGCAGTGCCCTAGGTTACAGAGCCAATGAGTAGAGAACTGCTCCCTTCAGCTTGAAAGCCATTGTATCTTGAGCTGAGGGTCAAGAAATCGCTACAAGAAAACACAAGCCACTAAAGGAGACCGTTTCAGCATCCAGCTCTCCAATCTACATATTTATATCTACATCTGACATTCTTTTCCTTTCTGTTAGAGAAGGGCTCTCCCAGCTAAGCATTTGATCGTTTCTACTTATCGCTTGTATCTTTATCGTGTGTCTTTGCCTCTCTTTCATTCCTACCTTCTTCTGATGAGCAGAAACCAGTCTTTCTTCAAAGTAAGTATCTTCTGTGTTAGCAAGTAATTTCTGCGTAACAACACACTCCACAGTTGTTGAAGGAAACTGAATACCATTTATATTACTCTCTGTTCTAAGTTGGGCTCACCTGGACTCACTTTAGCATTTGCAGTCAGCTAGACAGCTTTTATGGGGGGCCTTAGGTGGCTGGTGGCCAGGACCATAAGAAGACTGGAGCATGTGTCTTTTTTTCAACATCCAGCAGTCCAGCTCCTGCTAGTCCACATGGTCATTGAAAGGGCTTTAAAAAAAGAGAAACCTGCAGAACAATGTGTGGTTTCTAGATGTGGTTTGGGGCTCTTATAGCATTTCTCCCTCAGCTTTCTCCTAGCCAAACTACATCACAGCATAGAACAGGTGAAGTAGAGGACGGCTGAACCGTGCAGCTCTTCCTTGTAGCAAACCCCAGTTCAGCCTTTAAGATTCTGGACCTGGCCACAGCCAGAACTGTGTGCTTGTGCTCTGGGTTCCTCTCACCGCATAGAGATCGTTATGTGGCCACTGTTGGCTCATGTCTTAGTGAAAGGCGAGCTCTATAAAAACAAGAACTGGGTTGCAATACAGGATTTGCCATACAGGCAACTTTTGAAAACTGATATGCTTGAGTGATTGAAAAATTTAGAAACTTCTTGTCTGGTAGTGTGGAAGTTCAGGTAGAACCCAGTTGTGCTTGGCTCTTAAAATACACTTCTTGAAATTTTTTTTGTGGAACCAGGGATTGAACTCAGGCCCTTGTGCTTGCCAGGGAAGTGCTTATTCCACTGAGCCATCTCCCTGGCCCCTGTTCTTGAAATTTTGAATATTTCTTTTGAAAAATGAAAGAGAGAAAAAATTGGGACAGATTTTTGAGTAGTAGTTATTTAATGCTTTCACACTATCTTTGCAGGTTTTTCAGAGATGATGAGGTCCTAAAGTTTATTTCTTAAGTCAAGAAGCTATGTTGGAATTTCATAGTGAATTTGTCAGAGGAAACATACTGTATCCTTTAAGTAATTCTTCGATGTTTGATAAAATTTCTGTTTTAGAAAATAAAAATGAAGGAAGTTATGATAGACAGCATCCCAGATATTGCTCTGAAAGGCTCTGAAAATAAATACTTCTGTTAGAACAGGAAGAAGAATATACTTAATATGAGCTCATCTTTAAGTGAATATGTTAAATTAGTATCAATATACTGATTCCTAACTGATGGATTTTTTTTTTTTTTTTTTTTACATGTGTTACATATTTTAGGTTCAACTCCTTGAAGTCCTAACACCTGACCAAACTTCCCATCACTGGGCTGTTTTCCTATCGAACCATGCAGCGGCGATCAAGAGGAGTTGGTATTGGGCTCCTTCTGCTCCTCTCTCAAATCTTCCGTGTTGGGATCGACAATATTCCGCCTGTCACCCTCGGGACCTTGGCTGTCAACGTCTGGTTCTTCTTGAATCCCGCAAAGTCACTGTATGACTCCTGCCTTAGCGTGGAGAAGTGTTACCAGCAGAAAGACTGGCGGCGTTTGTTGCTTTCGCCCCTTCACCACGCTGACGATTGGCATTTGTATTTTAATATGGCATCCATGTTGTGGAAAGGGATCAGGCTGGAGAGAAGACTGGGCAGCCGATGGTTCGCCTATGTCCTCAGTACCTTCGCCCTGCTCACTGGGGTGGTGTATTTGCTCTTGCAGTTGGCTTGTGCTGAGTTTATGGATGAGCCTGGCTTCATGAGGAACTGTGCTGTGGGTTTCTCAGGTAAGGAGGGTGCGTTTCTGGTGTAGAGCGCACAGCAGAAGTCAGGGAGATGTGGAGCTGCGGATGCCTGGGTAGTAAGAGGACTGAATTCCTGAGTGGTTAAAGGCTTCCGGGACCTCCATCTGGAAGAGCAAGCAGATCAGAACTCAAAGGGGACAAGACTTCTGATGTCCCCTACCGTGCTGTTGCATTCACCCTTGGATAGTCTGAGGGCCTGCTGTGAGGTGGTTTTACAGGATGTATAACATTGAAAGCATACACTAGCCGATCATGGTAGAGCCCTGGAGAGACCCCTAGGTGCTCTTGTAATAAAGCCTTTTCAAAAAAGATGGGAATGCCTATGAAGCCCGCTGACAGTGCGCTGGTTACCAGCTTCACTGGATCTGGGAATTTGTTGCACATAATCAGTGCAACCAGTTACACAAGCCAAATTTATTAACTTGCACATAGGCAGCGCCAGCCAGCAGGAGTCCAGAATTCATTGTGCATTATCCCTACAGCAGAAAACTCACAGCTGTACAGTCCCATTTGTGCTACAGATGAGGAACCCTAAGAGGCAGCCTTGCCACACTCCTAGCTGATGCCCCTGAGGCTCATGTGTTACTGAGCAAAGCCTTGAAGGACTGCTGTCATAGAGGGGCCTGGGACATGACCTGTGCTGATCTGGCTAGCTCACTGAAGATTTTGCATTTAGCACTTTATAGAACTACTAACAAGAAAGAGGAAGCACTGGATCAGTCCATGGCTGCCAACTACTTATGGCTTTCAGTAATTTCATTAGAATGAATGCACCAGACCCTGGAAGAAATGCACCATGTACGTCCTGTTGGCAGAGTCATGTTAGTCACTGTGTGTCCTCCTTAGGGAGGTGGCACCACCTTGATACTGCAGACGAGAAAGCGAAGACAGGGACAGGAAGCTAGCCCAGTGCTGCCCAGCTAATAAGTAGTAGAGCTGAGATTTGAACCCCGCATGCATAACTTTGACCATGTGATCTGTGGCTTTGCCCCTTTCCTCCTTGCTAGTTCTTTTTCTTTTTTGTATTTTAGGGAAGGGTCTACAGGGTGTTCAGGGTCTCACTGCTAGGTCAGATGCATAGTGATCTACCTGTTTACAGCTTCCCAAGAGCTAGGATTACAGGCATGCGCTACCACACCCCGTCTCAGTTGCCTTCTCAGCACACTCCAGGGGTGGGGCAAGCACGGCAGGCTGGGGATTGAACCCCTGGCCCCTCCAGCAGGTGCTTTAATCCACTGAGCTATTTGGCAGGCCCTCTCGCTAGTTCTTTTTTACAGATAATTCTCAGGACTGAAATTGCTAGTAGGACTAAAGTTAGGTGTTCTATGAGATGGGGAGGAAGGAAATAATATTGAAAAGAAAATTGAATCCCCTGTTTTCATGGCCATCCTGCCCCATTCCATCAAATCTATCTTTATGCATTTAATTCGGAAGAAGAAAGAAAAGATGTCCAGCCTTCATCCTATCTTTCCAGAGGTTAGAAAAATACATTTTCCTGGCATTTTCAAATTGCATTAGAATTTAGAGAGCATGAAATCCACTGTTTTAAAGTGTGCCCTTCAGTGATATGGAGAAACATTGCTGGTGTCCCATTTTACATGTATTAATAGACTCAGAATGAACATCTGGGAGAAGGAGCAGCAGAGCGAGGTTGCCTTGCACCTACACTAAGTTAGAAAGAGCAGAGTACAGTGTCCAAGCCAAAAGCCAGAATAATCACTTTAACATGTAATTTGTTTTCTTTGTAGATAAATGTTGATACCTCCACCTTTTGATTGTTGATATTAGAATGTTCTTTATTCTCTTCTAGGAGTTTTGTTTGCCTTGAAAGTTCTTAACAACCATTATTGCCCCGGAGGCTTTGTCAACGTTTTGGGCTTTCCTGTACCTAACAAATTTGCTTGTTGGGCAGAACTTTTGGCCATTCATTTCTTCACGCCAGGGTAAGTTTAGGTTTAGGGAATACGAATGAAGAACTTGATGTTCCATGGAGAAAGAAGTGTAGCAATAATGAGGTAACAGGTGGTATTTTCTTTTATGGTGAAATTTATTAAATGTGGAGATAGAATTTAGTGGTTTTTAATATCATTCATTCTTGGTTTTGAATCCAATTACTGAGTTGTGAATTTTTAGAGTATCTGTCTTTGCTGAATTTTCAGTTTCCTTGCCATTTAAGTAGGAATAAAAGAACCTAAATATACAGAGTTTAGTATACAATCTAATGTACAACAGTTACTTTTAATAATAAGGCACATAGAAACCACCCAAAGATTTTTTTTAGAAAGCACAAATTATGCTGGCCTAATACTTTTATGAAATTTTAGCTATGAATTAACTTGATAACAGAGCTCTTTTGGCTCAGCTCTGAGCAGTTTTGGGTTGAGAGGAAGAATGGGGCGTGGTCCCCTTTGCCTCTACTTCCTGGTTGCTGTTCCCTCCAGGGGCATCTCTATGAAGCCAGAGGGCTCTGAGCACTCAGCTTCAGCCCTGTGCTGTAGGTGAGTCCTTCCCTGCACAGATGAGGATGTGGAGACTCAGAAATTAGAGGTTCACGCCTGGCTTGTGGGCCACCCTAGGCTAGTTGAGATTGAGGTCTCCTGACTCCTGGCCTGGGACCCAGTCATGCTGTCCTTTCTTCCTCTGGTTCCTTTTTTTGCTTTCTTTCCCCACCTTTTTCTCTAGCTTTACTTCACTTAATCTGTGTTATGCAATTAGAAACACATGGTTTGTTTGTTTATTATGACTGTGGGTGGAGACTGGTGAGATAATTTTAAGATTCAGAAAGAAGTATGGATCTTTTTTTTTCCTCTCCCTGAGACAGGAGTTTTTTATTTTGGTTTTGATTTGTGTCACTGCATTGGGGTTGTACCCCATTGGAGAAGATTCTTGTTGTGCTGCATGCGTCAGCCCAATAACCCGAGTCCTTCTTTAATGTAGTTTCCCATCATTGGGCAGCCATTGGCAGCTGGTCCATAAATGGCAGTGATGTGGCACTGAGCATTGCTCATTTACAATTGTATTGTTACTCCTGACAGTTCAGCTAAGAAAGCTTAACAAAATCTTCAAAGTTTTCTTTGAAAAAGTGTCCAATAATGTCTGTCTCTTATCTGAACAGCCCTCTCTATACCGTGTCACTCACGGCTCCCCTGACTTGCTTAATGTGACTTGGTTCTCGCTGTAGACTATAGGCTCTTGAATGTGCCTGGCAACACCCAACATTCATATGAAAATCACTCCCTCTGGTACTTGAACTTTTATCCTATAATGAGTCCGCTGAATAACAGTGTCTTTAATATTCTCGTGCAACTATTTCTGAAGATCTCATCATGTTTTTTTTTATTTTTTTTTATTTTTTAAGAGCTGTCTCTTTCCATGGAAAAACGTGGTTACATTTTTGTGTAATATGCTTATTCTGTGTGGAGGTACCTCCTATTTTGAGCCTGGGAATTAAGTGAAATTTCCTGTCTTTGAAGTTTAAAAGAATAAATCTTTTGATTTTTTTTTTTTTTTTTTTTTTAAGATTTGACTGCTTTGAATGATAAACTTCTAGTATCCAAGCACCTATTTATGCATGTGTCCAAATAAAGAATGAGCTAAACAGTGGTCCAGGGAACCTTAAAAGTGAGTGCTTCTTTGAGACGGATCTTAGCAGAAAGGGGAAAACTAGAGCTCTCATAATGTGGTATTGTTATTCTCCTGGTGGTTGTCAATTAGAATTTTCATTGGGGAAACACTGTAAATCTTTAGAACAAAGCTTGCTTTTCTTGTAGATCTATAGGGGTGCCTTTTAGGAGAAAAAAAAAAATCTGCCAAAGCAAACATTTGGTGGATCTCTGTGTTCCATGAAACCTTGGAATTGGTAATTTCCCCCAGTGAGGGAGTTGTGTGAAGGAAAGCTTCTCCAAGCAGGCAGCCATTGGGCCTTGGGGGTGTGGACCTGTCCACTTGAGAATGAGGCAGTCACACTCATTTGATTGTGTGGTGCTTTTGCTTTCCACAGTCCCGGGGTGCCCTTCATCAGTGATTGCACAGCCTCACTCTATCCTTTCAGTTTTCCTTCATGTCCTAAGGCCTGTCAGGTGTCTGAAGGAGCCCCTGCTCCATGAGAGCCCCTGAGGGCCAGGAGGGTGGTGTGCCAGCCCCTGGAGGAGGCCACCTTCTCCTAGGATGGGCTTTTGTGCCTTCTCACCTCTCACCACACACCCCATCCCCCAGCATCCTGTTGATGGCTAGGAAGTGGTTCTGAGGCCAGGCTTTATTTATCTCCTAGTTCAAATTATGAACCTATAAAATCTTTCCATAGAAGCTTAGGCCATCTAGGCAGAAAACTGAAGCTTGGGGAAAGGATTGTTACTCAGGGGAAGTCGGTCACTGCGTGATCATGTGAGACCACAGTGGCCAGCTGTGAGAGGGACCAGGGCTCACTCCTTATGGCAGCTCAGGCAAATCATAGTCTTTTTTTGAGCCTCATTTTCCTATAAAATGGAAATATCACTTAGCTTCCCTGTTTAGTAAGTCAGTTTTAAGATTCCAAAGACCTAATGCATAGAAAAGTGCCTTCTAAATGAAAAAAAAAAAAATTCTTAACCCTTTTAATTTTAAAGAAAGGACTGGAAAATGTACAGTGTCTCTGACAGGAAATATGCCTAATTTCTTTCTAAGATGAATAAAATTTGTCACTTGTTACTTAATTTTGTTTGTTTCAGTTCTCCTCCACACCCCTTTGCTTCCTGTGTGATTTTGCGTCTGAATGACAGCCGTCTAAAAATGCTCCAGGCCACTAATAGACACTAATTAAGTGGGGCATGACTGTATTTGGGCCCTGAGTGATTATTTGAAATAAGATTTCAGTTTTGAAAACATTGACCCCTTGGCTTTGGATATTGTTTTATTGCTAATGTTTGACAAAAGTAATTACTTTGACCCTACAGAAAATTTCTTGGTTAGATTAAGCAAAAGAGAATAAGACCTAGTTACGTGTGTTTTCCTTGTTACCATTTTTTTATTATAAAACATTCAAACATAAAATTGCTGAACCCTTTAAAAATAAGTTGCAAATGTCATTTATTTTACCACTGAAAATGTTGACATTTATCTCCTAGAATTGTATTTTATAAAACTAAGTCATCTATTGTTGTACTAAAGAAAGTTAACAGTAACTTCCTGATACAGTCCAGTGTCCATATTTGTATGTTCCTCATGTTCAACTGTCTTTTATAATGTTTTGGGGTGGAAAAGGACCAGCATCTAAAGTCCACTTATTACATTTGATTTTTTTTTTTTTTTTTTTTTAATGTATTTGCTACAGGGTCTCACTACACAGCTGGGACTCATGGTGATCCTCCTGTTTTCAGCCTCCCCAGTGCTGGAATTATAGTCATGCACCACCAAGCCTGGTCTCAGTGGCTGGTTCAGCATGCCTGGGGGCGGGCCCGGCACAGCATGTGGTGCCAGGAATCAAACCCCAGTCCCTGTGCTTGCCTAAGAAGGCACTTAGTCCGCTGAGCTGCTTCAGCAGCCCTTGAATTTGATTTTTATATTTTTTGTTCTCCATTACTCTAGAATAGCCTTCCCCCACCTTGTTTTTCAATGACTCTAAAATTTGGAAAAGACCAGATCTGTCTTTTTTTTTTTTTTTTGCAGAACCAGGGACTGAACCCAGACCCTTGCACTTGCCTGGGAAGGGCTTATTCTATTGAGCCATCTCCCTGGGCCCTTGTTTCTTTCTATAGAATGTGTCACATTCTAGCATTTTCTGCTTGTTTCTCTGAGGGTTAACTTGTCCTTTTTACCTCTGTTTTTGGAAGCCCACAAGTCAGGTCTAAAGAATGGACTAGGTTTCAATTCAATGGGTTTTGGCAAGGATACTGCATAGAGGTGTTGATGTGTACTCCATGTTGCATTATGTTATGAAGGACATACGTACCAGATTCTTTTCTTAGAGGAATTGATTTAAAGTAGTTCCATTCTCAGGGCAAGTTGCAAGCACTCTGCGAGGTGATCCTTGGACCTAGTTTTTTGCTTTTTGGAATTAGTATGTATCAGTGATGATTCTTATCTCACTTATTTCAGGGGTATTTGTGAAGCATGACTTCCTGATTTTGTCACTTTTTCTATATTTATTACTTGAGGTTAATCTAGAGTTAGTGGGTGAAGACTCAAAGGCAACAAATTGAGGGAGATGAGTATTTATCAGGAATAGCTTAGTTTTGGAGACTTCAAGCTTATTTTACTCTGTGGCTCCTCTTCAAGCAAAAGTACAAAATCAGGCACAGAGATAAAAGTTTTAAATGAAGAAGGAAATCGTAAAATTTACAAAATTTTGGGAGCCATTATTACAAGCAGTTTGCATTTCCTAAAGTTCCATAACAGTAGCTCTCTAGCACTTCTGCAGTATCTCCCTGCCTCAGGTTAGTGGGCCAAGCTCTTCCTTGTCTTCTTCATGGGAAAGTAGCCCATGAATAGCATTTCTATAGAGAAACTAAAAACAGGGTCTACAGGGTCTCACTATGTATATTGGACTTGTACTGATTCTCCTGTTTTGTTTTGTTTTTTTTTGCTCCAAATACCTTCGGGGCAGGTTTGGCTGGCTTGAGTTCTGGGGATCAAACCACAGCAACCTGAGCCTGACTGCTTTGTTGAAGCAGCCACTTAAAGAACTGAGCTAAGGGGCAGGCCCCTGATTCTCCCCTTCCCAAGCACTGGGATTATAGGTGCACACCACCACTCCCAGTCTCAATCGCTATTTCAGTGTGCCCTGGAGATGGGGCCAGAACCGCACACCGGGGATCAAACCTTGGCTACCGTGCTCTGCCTAAGCAGGTGCTTTAGTCCGCTGAACTATCTGGCTGGCCCTCTATAATGTGATTTGAAATTAGTTTTGCTTGAGAGTTAGAGATCCAAAGTTTATTTTGCATAATTCTTAAAAGAAAGGAAAATAAGA